GTCTGGGGGTGTCTGGGGGACTCTGGGGGGTCTAAGGGTGTCTGGGTTAGGGTTATGGTGTCTGGCGGGTTTATAGGGGTGTCTGGGGGATTCTGGCGGGTGTATGGGGGTGTCTGGGGGTGTCTGGGGGTGTATGGGGGATTCTGGAGTTGTCTGGGGGAGTCTGGGTGTCTCTGGGGGTGTCTAACGCGCGTCCCCCCCCCCCGCAGTCGTACCAGTCCAGCCCCGGGGGCCAGTCGTCGTGCAGCAGCGAGCCGTCTCCTCTCAGCAGCGCCAACAACACCGACAGTGGGGTAGAGATGGCCCTGCACAGCGGGGGCAGCTTCGGGGACCTCAGCGCGCAGGACGACTGCCCCATGGTGGACTCCACGGTGGCAGCCGGGGGGCAGCAGGTGGGGGTGGGGCTTCAGCTGAGGAAGGCTGCGGGCGGGCCGGTCACCATCAAGCTGGAAAACATCAAGAAGGAAAGGCTGAGGACGGTGAGGGAGTCCTGCCCCTGGATCCACCCGCAGCCCCCCCAGGGGCCGCGCGACAGCATGAAGCTCCCCCCCATCCCTGCAGTCGGTAAGCAGGCCGGCAGGCACACACCGGGTCGGGGACAGGAGAAGAAGTTAGATTTAGATTATTTTCCCCCCAAAAAATGTTCGATTTTGATTTAATATCAGGATATGAGAGATATCAAATCGGGTATTACGGTATTCGCAGGTCTGTGAAAGCTTTTTTTTAAGGCATCGGCTTTTTGAAAGTCTCATTTATAATCATAGAGAAATTTTACATTGGGCATAAATTCGAAATCCAAAAATTGCCCGGCCTTACCTAACCTAACCCTAAACTAACCCTAACCTTAGGGCTGGGCAATATGAGAAAAAGTTAGATTTGGATATTTTTTCAACAAAATGTTTGATTTAAAGTTTATATCACGATATGAACAAAATCTTTTTTCAGTTCAATTCAGTTCAATTTTATTTATATAGCACCAGAGTTATTCACAGAAGAACTACAGTTCCACCAAGAGCAGCACTAGGAGACACAGGGAGGAAACAACTGCCTTTAGGGGAACAAACCTGGAGCAGAACCATGGCTTGGGTTTCTGCCATGGCCTTTTTATATTATTTTATTATTATTATTATTTATCATTATTATTTATTATTATTATTATTATTATTATTATTATTATTATTATTATTATTATTATTTATTATTATTATTATTATTTATCATTATATTATTATTATTTTATTATTATTATTATTATTTTATAATATTTTGGAATATTACAAATGTAATAACCATAATGAATAACTGTGCGTGCTCTAGTGGGTTACATTGTCCTAAAGGCTGAAACAAATTGCTGGTTTCCTATTTTAGTAGCTATGCTCTTTCTTGCACAGTGTTTGACTTCAAACACCCAAAGTTCCTCCTCTCAGGCCCTTCTTTTGCACCCTGTCGTCCTGTGATTGGGTTTTCGTGGGTCTGTTAAAACTTTAAGGATATTTTTTAAGGCGTCGGCTTATCGAACGTCTCATTTCTAATGGTAGAGAAATTGAAATTGAATTGGTGGTTTGGGACATGGCTCATCTCTAAGCATGGCACCTGGTCCCTGAGGGCGGGAGGGCCGCTGTGCCGGGGGGGCTGCCTCCAGCTGCCCGCTGTGTAACGCTGCTGTGCCCCCCCCCCCTGCAGGCTCCCTGCTGGACGGCTCCGGCCTGCTGGACCCGTACGAGGTGACGCTGCTGTCCCAGCGGCGGGGCAGCGGCAGCAGCACGCTGAGCTCCGCCTACTCTCTGAGCCCCGCCTACTCTCTGAGCCGCCGCTCCTCGGGCATCTCGCCCTGCGGCTCCAGCCGGCGCTCCAGCGAGGCCTCGCACTGCGGGGGCCGCCGCCACCACAACCTCAGCTCCGCCGACTCCTACGACCCCATCTCCACCGACCTGTCCCGCCGCTCCAGCGAGGCCAGCCACTGCGGGGGGGGCGGGGGCGGGGGGGGCCTCCCCAGCATGCTCAGCCTCACCCCCGCGCAGCACTACCGCCTCAAGGCCAAGTACGCCGCCGCCACCGGCGGGGCGCCGCCCACCCCCCTCCCCAACATGGAGCGCATGAGCCTGAGGACGCGCATGGCGCTCTACAGCGAGCCCCACGAGGGCGCCGCGCCCCCCCCCCGCCAGCCCCCCCCCCGGGGCCCGGCGGTGCAGCGACACCGGCTACGGCGTGATGCCCCACGAGGCGCCGGCCAGCCTGCCGCGCCGCGCCAGCGACCCGGTGCGCCGGCCCCCCCCCCGACCCGCCGGCCTTCCCCCGGGCGCCGCGCTACGGCAGCCTGAGCGGCGCCCTGAACGGCGTGGGCGCCCTGAGCGGCGAGCGGCAGCTGGCGCTGGCGGGCCAGGGCTACACGCGCTCGGACGGCAGCCTGCAGCGGCACCCCTTCGCCCCCAGACCCCCCAGCATCTCTGAGAACGTGGCCATGGAGACCATGGCGGTGGACGGGCTGATGGCCGGCGGGGAGGATGACCTGGTGCTCCCGGACGATGTGGTCCAGTACCTCCGGTCACAGAACTCTGGGCCCTCGGGTCAGAACCCGGGGCAGGGCGGCTACACCCCCAGCAGCCAGGTTCAGGGCTACCAGCCCGCCATGCCCCCCCCCC